CCCATTCTAGGTTACGCGCTAATTCGTTAGGCGTGTCTTATATCGTACTCTAGTAACCTTATATATAGGTTCTCTACTAAGTATTATTATCATTTGCTAATCTATAGTAGGGTTATACTTTAGTAACTAATCGTAGTTAATTATTATCTTAGTGTCTTCTAGATCTATAATACTAATTCTTTCTTAGCTTTCTTAACTAGCTAGGCGTAACGTTACTGCCTTAGTCTTAAGTTAAATCTAGCCGTTCCCGTATATCGTGGGACTGTCGTTAGCTAATACTACTTATATTAGAACTTTCTTAGTTTGATAGGGTATATTATTATCTTCCACCACTCGTGGTAAGATAACAGTTCATGCTGCCCTACTATCTATAAGCGCTAGCACCTTATATCCGTCTATAAGTACTATAGCTTTTAATTATAACTCTTTTACTCCTACCTTTTATACTTACTTAAGAGTTATTTTAGAACTGCCTTTACCAGCGTAACTCTATCCCTAGTAGTATCCTAGTTTTTTAACTACCTACTTCTCTTTTTCTTTAGAAAGTAGCCTTCGCCTATCTTAGCGGAATAGTATATTATATATTAATCATTATAGTAGAAGCTCTAATAGATATTCTTATAAGGTATCTTCTATTACGTAGTCCTCTTCCTTAGTTCTAGCCTCTTACTTTTATAAATTAGGTAATTCTTTGCCTTATAAATATTCGCTAGTAGGATGCTATAGTAGTAGTTACTTATCTATTAAGTATTCTTAAACTATTATTAGTATATAGTATAACCTTTTCTATAATATGTCTATAGGAGTTTACTATACTCTACTAGCGTTTCCTATACTTAGGCTCTATACATTCTATAGTTCTTCGCTATTTATTCTTTTATAGAAATTATACTATAGTAGTAGTTATCTACCCTTCTAGCTTTCTGTCGCTGTTCTTTATAGAATTAGTAATTAATTATATACTTAATCTAATATAACTCTTCGTAAGCTTTCTTTTCTATAGGCTAGTATATATAGTAATACTATACGCGACACTCGTTATGCTATAAATTAGTATAGTAGTAATTGTCCTCGTTATCTCTAGTTTCTTCTCGCTTCTTTAAGTAATAATTATACTATCTTAGGTAGTCAACCTAATATAGGCGCTCGTGTTGCTCTATCTATTTCTTAAACGTCTAAGGTGTCTCCTTATTATTAGGTTCTTTAAACCTAGGTTATTTCAAGGCAGCCCTATAGGTAATCTTATCTACTTAGGGTCCTAAGATTATAACTTATCTATTAATATTATAATTATTAGCTTAATGTGCGTTAGTTCCGTAAATTTAGTACTATTAGTTTCTTAGGCGGCGTAGTACTTCGGCCCCTTTAATCTACTAATCTATTAGTAGTAGTGCGTCTTACTTAAAATCTTAGAGTCCTATTACCTTTTATACTAGCTTAAAGGCCTTATTAGTAGCTTATCTTACTTTTTTATATAGGTCTAAGTCGCTAAGAGTTTTATCTAGCTTCTTAGTTAGGTATAGTATTAGTATCCGAATTATTCTAATCTTAACCACTTCTTATCTAACTTTATTTTTTAGGTAATCTCTGCGGAAGTATCCTACTTTACTATACTAGAGATATATCTTACTATTATAACGCTTCTTACGTTCTTCTATAGAGAGTCTGTTATTAAACTATTCTTAGAGTTTCTTATTCTTATTCTTAGACTTATCTTATACCTTACTAGTTATAATAGTATTACTATTCTTATTAAACTAGCTACGCTGTTTCCTTATATTAGCTATTACTAGCTAGGATTATTTTCTTTATTAGTTTCTTTCCTATAGTCTATTATTAATACATATTACTAACTTAATTAGCGTATAAAGCGTATTTAGTTTATCGTAATATATAAGTCTGTCTTTAATATTTTCCTTTAGACCTACTTTAAACACTGTTTAAAGTACTGCGTCGTCCTAGTTAATTCGTGCCTATAGCTGCTTAAACTTAGCTATATACGCTAATACTAAACTAGTCTACTTTAGGCGAGTTATTACTTTCTCTACTTAGTTCTAAGCATCTACTTCCCTAAAGATATATTCTTTCTCTTTCTTAAATTCAGCCTAACTAGTGAATAAGGCGCGCGTCTCGTCTTTTATTCCTCTATTCTTAATATTTAATAGATAGTCCTCTACGTATAACTATATTCAGCTTAACGCTCGTTCTTTTATATAGGTGCTAGCTATAAGAATCTTTTTCTAGTTATTAGGTACCTCGTTAAATTCGTAGTATAAGTTAATATTAGTAAGAAATATCTATAACTTAGTGCGACTTCCGTTGTACTTTTCTAGGGTTGCTATTTTCAGCTTCTTAAGTAGTTTCTTATTTAGGGTGGCTATTAATTAACCTATAAGTTAGTTAATTATATTCTGTAACTTAGCTATCTACCTTATTTAAGCTTAGCTCTTACGTCTAAGATTAACGAGTTCGTACTTAGGGCTCCCTACTACTAGCTTATTACTTCCCCCTTAGGTACTACTAGTTATGTTCATATCTCCCTTAGATACTAGGCCTAGGATGTTAACGTATTCGCTTAAATTTCCTAACATAGTTTAATCTTAATTAGACGCTATTAGTTAATCCTTCTTCTACTAGATCTGTAAGTAGTTAAAGTGTTATATAGAGTATAGGTCTATACTTCTCTATCTTAGTCTATACTAAGGCAGGTAAGTATTACGTTAGTATTCTATAAGGCTTATCTAGCGATATAGTAGAGTTAGCGTACTTAAGAAGGGTTTAATAAGACTAATCTATTTAATAGACTAACTTATAATAATCTTATTAAGTAAAGATACTAGTAAGAAAGTATAATTTAAGTTAACTATAACGAGAGTAAATAATAAAATCTATCTATCCTTATATCCTTATTACTTCCAGTCCTAACATCTAGCCAAGCCCTTAACATCTCTAATATTACTAGCATCTCTAGATATCCTGGCATCTCCTAATGTCCTGGCATCTCCTAAGAGTCTAGCATCTCTAGATGTCCTACCTTAGCGAGATACCACGTTACGTGATCAGCGCCCCGCGTTAATTATTACCTTCTGACGTGGACGTCCATAGGCCTTCCGCCATCTCGTCATTTGTTAAGGAGAGAATCCTTTTTGTTACTTGTAACACATAGTGCTAGATATATTAAGAAATATAGCTAAATAGCTTAAATAGGCACTCTATTTATTATAGACTTAGAATAAGCTTTTATACTATAAAAATAAGAAACTACGTAGTAGTATTACTACTCAAAAAAGCTATAAATCTAAAAGAAAACTTCTTAATCTATAGCAGCACGAAGAGTATTATAGCACCGCGGTAATATAGAGTCTATAATTAGTAAGAGTAGCTAGGGCCTATAAGGTAGTAGAATAATAGTAAGAGTATAAAAAAAACTCTAAAAAACACTAAAGGAAGAAGCGAACTGCCGCAGCTGTATATAAAAAATAGATAGTATAAGCTACTTATAAGTATCGCGAAATAGCTAAAATAGTATAGTAGAAGGAGTAGACTATAAGAGCTGTATAACTAGCTACTACGCGCGCCTAAAAGTTATATAACTGCACTGCTATAATTATACTAAAAGCTTATAATAAGTAGAATACAGCTAAATAAAAAGCTTTATTAACTTAAAATAAAAAAATTAAAGCGGCGTTGTATTATAGAGGCTGAAAGTAGTGGTAGTAATATATTACCGCCTGCTAAGCCTTCTACTAAAACTACTACGCGCGGCTATAACGTAAGCTTACCTAATAAATATTAGTAGATAGATATTAAATATACGACTATAGTAGTACTCTACTAAAATATCTCGTAATAATAACGTTTGAGTAGTGGTTAAAAGCTTCATTTTTTAGCGGGTACCTATTTTGGTGCGGTGTTACATTAGGTGAACTATTGCACGCACTAACTACATGCAGTATAGTTAACTTACATTATACTTTCTTACTAGTTACTTTACTTAATAAGATCGTTATCTATTAGTCTATAGTAATATAGATTAGATTATTAACCTTATTATTACTCTCTTCTATAAGTATACTGCTCTACTATATTACTAGATAAATACCTTATAGAATACTAGTGTAAAGCTTACTAGCTTTAGTGTAGGACCTAGTAAGAGAAGTATAGATTCTAACCCCGTATAATACCTAGTAGTACTAAGCAACTAAGTACACTACATGAAGCTTTAGTATATAGTATTAGTTATTAAGCTCTTAGAGCTTAATATATTTAACTTAAGTTTTAAATATTAATATAATACTATATTATACTTACCTACGTTACTAACCTATTGTACACTATCTCTCTATCTATGAAAACTAACTAATAAGAAGCTTAATACTAGAAGTCTAATATTACTTCCACTCGAGCTATACTCTTAACACTTAGGCCCACACCTAGATTCTATTAGTAGCTAATTAGGAAGGCCGCACGCTAGCCACCTAGCTAGCACTATAGCCCTAGCAGCCACCCAGGGATTTCTAGCCTCTTATACTTAGAAACTACCAGTCCGCTGCTATGTTAGCTAGCGCCGTAACACTAAATATACTTCTAAGTACTAAATCACTCTCTAAAGTTATTTTTCTTATACGTAATAAACGTTTAATCTTTTTTACTTAATAAGTTTGTTATACAAACACTTGAATATATGCTTTATAGTAGCTGTCGTCTTCTAACATAGTTATCTATTATTTCCAAGCGTATTTCTTCTCTATTTCCAGAAATGCCTTTCTTATTACTTACTACTACTTTCTAACCTAATATATTTTTGTAGTAACTTAAAATCTTAAAATACTAGAAATAAAAATAGAAATCAAAAGAATATAGATAACATAGTTAAGAGTACGTAACTAGACTAGCGTGGTTCGCTTACCGATTCAACTCGCACCAGTATATTACTGCTATTTAAGACATGTGTGGTGTTGTATTCTTACTCTTCTTAGTAATAGTATAATCTCTGATATATCGACTAAGATGAGCCATGACAGAATTAAAGAGCTTTTTCTGGCGAGATACCTAGTCGAACAAGAGCTGTTAGATGCCTCATTTGCCCGGCCTGATCTTCTCATTCTCAACCAGCCAATAACGCATTTCACGGCGTTCGAGCATCTCTGGAAGCATAGTAACTACCATGTTTGCGCTGACGGCGGCGCAAACAGGCTCTTTGATATGTTTGCAGGAGAACTGACACAGCAGCGCGAGCAATTTGTAAGTAGAAGCGAATATTTGAGCCACTAGGCAAGCCTGATAGATGCAGCTACCCGACATCGTCCACGGCGACCTCGACTCGTTGCGCAATGATGTTCGTGACTACTATCGCGATCGAGGCGTCTCAATATCACGGGGCGGCGATCAAGAAAGTACAGATTTTGGAAAATGCATGCAGAAGATTTCTTCGCGTGTCTTGTCGTCGGGTATGCGAGACATCCTCGTTCTTGGAACATTGGGTGGACGTGTTGACCAAGGGCTGGGACTGTTGCATGAGATGATTCGAGAGGAGACCAAGCATCCCAACCTTCGTTTGTGGCTCTTTTCGGAATCCAGTCTGTCGCTCATTATAAAGGCAGGAATAACTATTTTGAGAGGCGTCCAGGCGAGCCGGGTTTTCACAGAGAATGTGGGTCTTGTTCCTATATACGGCCCAGCCGTGATCTCGACTGAGGGCTTGGAATGGGATGTCAAGCAGTGGGCTACACGCATGGGCGGGCAAGTCAGTACAAGTAACCACGTCAAAGCAGATAGTATAAGGATCGAGACTGACGCGCCGATACTTTTTACGATAGAGACGGCGCTTTTAACTATGTCGTAACTATGCAACATAGGCGCCATCAGAGTTAGATGGGTGCATGCGCATGGTCGTGTTGTAGCCGCTCATGTATAATTTCTTATGGCAACGTGCATCTGCACTTGTTCGTGCATGGGTAAAGCCAGGGTCTCACCAGTCCCCTGATGCTGGAAATACATTGAACAAGCTACTAACACCGCATATTTGGCATTCCAAGGATCCCATCCAAATGGAACGGTCTTGACGTTCTCTATACTAAGAAATTGGCCCCATTGCCCAGGTCTATTCGCGATGTGGCCGGCCTGCTAAACGGTTGCCGCTAGCGCGACCCTGTTGCTGACTGATTCAGCGATGCTCGACAGATGACAACCTCCGTCAAGTCGCGACCTGTTATACGCGTATGCATCATGGCTGTTCGCAAGGATGTTTAACCAACATTTTCCAGGGGATCGTCGCTGTCCAAAGACTTACCACATGTGCGGATACTACCCATGTTTCGGAACATGCATCTCTCTGTCCATCGGGGTTCCCGACGATTCGGCCACATGGCAGTTTGTATAGGTACTGACCGCCATGGTGAAATTTGTCAGAATTCAGCATCACAGTTGCAACCAGCATGCACAAAGGCTCATGCCACCGCCAGCTCAGCGAAACATAGCCTACCATACCCCCTTGCTCGAAGTACGTCCGCTGTGGCGTTCCATCTAACCACAATTAGGGACAACGTCTCATGAGGGAATGTCTACATTTTCGGGCTCAGCCTCGATTCCACTAGTGTGGCAAACGCCTCATCGGCACAAGAACGGACCCTCGTCACTGTTTCACTCGTAACCAAAGGTATGTGCACTGGTTCTATGATTAGTTTGGCTCGCTTCGTGCCGAGCCTCCGCTAGTCAGCTACTGCGTATAGCCTTTTGGGATTTTCAGGCCTTACTCCGTTCCGTTTGGACTAGTATATCATCGACTCAGTTCCTGACTACTGGCGAGGATGAATCCCGTTTTCTAGCCTATTCTGGTGCCTCTACTGCGTCTCCCGAATCCTGCATAAAACGACTCCTCTTTCTTGGGCACATAATCAATCTGTTGCGCAGTTCGGTCTCTACTATTATATTGATTCAGAACTATGAGTCCTAAGACTTCCAAGATTCTTCATGACTCCTCGTACAACATGAGAGCGGAGCCACAGCCTCAAAATCCATACGCTAGATTACCCTCTAGAAGAGCGATTGCATGCGTAACGTGTGCCAAAGCTAAGACAAAGTGTAACAAGGCAGTATGTGTTTTCCAGAAGGGCGCTGTTTCTCACAAAGCTCACTCTCAAGGCACCTTCATGTTCACGCTGCACCACCAAAGGCATCACCTGTGAACCCCGATCGACCCGCCGCACATCTGTAAATATCCATCGTTCAAACACTCGGAAATCATCACATTCACTAGTAAAGAGTCATTCTCTGAGTGCTCTCTCACGGGTTGATAGGCCAGATTCACCTCAACATCTGCCATCTTTGGGCGGCAATGGACATGTGCGGCGCATGTCATGCAATTCTCAAAGTGTCTTAGAAACGGATATACAAACCGTATCACTCCCTGTACATGCCGAATCTGCTCCCCTATCGATGGATACACCATGCATCATTGACGAGAGTCAGTTGTACATAAAAAACCCCGAACAAATCATGGTCCGCTCGGATCAGGCGATGTGGACAAGCAGCATCTCTAGTCTAGGTGGCCTCTCGCCGCCTACGCCTGAACCTATGGCATTCCACGAGCCTATAACTATGATTCACTGCGCAGACTACATTTCATATCCGCAGACATGGTACGAAGAGATATCAGCGTCGATTGAGCATGGACTCGGCTCGTCTTTCAGCGACATACCCCCATCACAAATTTTAGCTATGCGAGACAACGCAAGTACGGTGCCATTTATGCCATCAGAATCGTGGCCAAATTCCGACTATGCGCTGTTACATCCGCAGACCTTCACGGAGCCAACATCTTATTACAATAACGCTGGTTGCTATTCTGGTAGTCAACTGTTATCGCGAGGCTGGTTGCCCAATTCCATGCCAGATTGGACGACGTTTGAACCTACGAGTCCAGAATTGACCACTGTTTTATCGGCACAATCCAACACGATCGTATACTTTGGTCTGGGGGGTGGCTTGATATGTGAAGAGTCACCATACCATCATTTTTGAAAACAGGAGCGGCAGTCACGTAATGATGCCACGATGCAGCGTTCAGGCCACTCATCAGCGTCAAGGACCCTGGAAATTGCAGTATACCGTTTTTGCCTCGACACATTCTATACGTATATTTAGAACTACTCGTCCTATCAATCGGTAGTCCGCTCGTTCAGAAAGCCACTACACTCAAATCATCAAGCTTGAACTATCTCCTATCGATAAGAGGCTTTGCAATATGTAAAGTACTTCAAGATAGTTGAAAATGTACGAAATTCCTATAGATAAGGCTGGATGATGGAGTACAACAACACACGCAAATTTACATTACTGCCGTCAATGTTTCCAATCAAGTCATTGAGTGTTGAAGGTGATTCGCTAAGCTTCTGGGCCATCTCTTCATTGTCTCCGTTGAGCATTCCTTCAGTGCGCTAATGCAGATAAATCATATGTCAACATCAATCACTGGTGTTGCAGTTGCTAGAGCTATTTGCTCTTATCCCTATCTTGCGTCGTGTTTGCACCCACTTCGCGTAACCGAAATGACCCGGCTTTCAGCGCCCCACATCGTAATCGCCTATTATTGCTACCAGTGCGGTTCAAATGGCTAAATAGAAGAGCGTCTCATTGGTTGATCATGCACACTCATGGACTTGAAATTCTAGTCATGTCGAGGGATTAGGTAGATGCTGATCATAGTATTCTTTAGACCAATGCCGGTATTGTATCTTATATTTTCTACTACACGAATACTGATTGAATTCGTAAGCATCAGCCTCTGTCGACAGCCCGTACAGCCACTCCATTATTGGGTTTTCGGTGGTCTAAAAAGCTCAGTGTTAGGAATCAGAACTTGTCACTGTCATTGCGCTAGACCTGTTTCTTCGAGAATAACATACACGAAGCGAATCTAAGCAGATTTTCTGCTATTCAGGCAAGCTACTTTTGTAAGGAGTGGGCTGTGTTGGCCTTGCAATGTTAAAGCGGGAGGCCTATGCTGCCTAATCTCGATACTTGTACACACTCATAGCCTTGTCAACCGCACTATTTGCTTACCTTGAGGGGTTCGTGCTTGCCAGAATTTGTTCCCCAACGGGACTCTCATGTGCTGGGACGAGAATGGGGGGCTCAAAAGAATCAGCACCAACGTCATACCGATCTTCAAATATCTGCACCCATCCAGCCTTACGCCGATACACACTCTTTATCAGATTTTAGACAACGACGGTCCGTTCCATTGCTTACGCTCTGGGTGAGCCTTGTACGCGGGCCTTCAATATAGCCTATCACATAACGACTCTGACGCCACGGCGCTTGAAAGGATGGTGCACGGGTCGTAGGTGAGTAACGCTTATGCTCGGCCAAGCCCCTCGAATGAGGAAAGTTAGGGCAAGGGTAGTGCTGTACGTTCCCTATCTTTAGCGATCGACACCGGTGCGAGTGCACTAGGGGCCTGCAACATGTTGGCCAAATTCTCGGCCTCGCCATATCTCAGCTCTGCCGTCCTGGCGCCATAGCGCCTGGTGCGTGGTTGGGGTTGCACAACATGTCATGTGGTGGCGTTCGCTGCTTATCGATACGTACTGATGTTGTCTGCCGCAGGTACGTAAGCCCAGATTGTCGTGTCATGCACACGCGCAGCAGCAGCTGCCTCCATGCAGGAACGGTGAGCTCTGTAGGGCATGGCGGCACAGCATATGCACTGCCCACATACACCCATTAGAGGGGAAGAGAGCATCTAAGTCTGTATGTAGTCGAGAGTTTACCAGACTGCTGGGACTAGCATCCACGTGCCTGGTAGTAGTCGACTGTACTTGAGCTAATCCGGCTCAACTATCCGCTCCTCCGACCACCATGTGCCGCATTTCGGGGCCAAACACTACCGAAGTGCATGGAAATTATATTGAATGCTCGCTAACTTTTCCTCTTACCGAGATGTTTCCCCAGTCGTTCGACTTGGCATCCTTCCTGCAACATCCAACCTCATCAACATTGACAGTACCAAATGATTGGGTCTACTCAATATTTGACCCATTTCTTCCGTCTCTTGGTGTCTAGCAGTCCCGGGGCTGCAGCAGGGAAAGTGGGTTCGTGGCTAGTGCGATCTGCCTTGCCCTGCGATGCTTTGTCTCTTTGATGTCCGCTTCTTGATCAGAAGCAGAGTGATCACAAAGTCTCTGCCGGCTGATAATCGATACAAGCATGCATGAGAAAAAGCAAAACTAGAGAGTGTTGATCATTCTCAGAGACGTCCAGGAAAACAGACTTCAACTCCACCGAAACCCGCTACTGCACGGACCCAATCCTGAACGACTGTGGCAGAAATGATGTACGTACATGCAATGTAGGGCCTCAGCTTAGTAGGATCTAGGATATTCCCAAACACCATCGGCCCGTTCCACAGCATGGTCAAGCGAGAGCTAGGCAATTTGATAGGTTCGGACGACTCTAGATGAACATACTGAACTAGTCTTTACGGCGGAGCCTCGTCCACGAGATCACCACGCGACTGAACACCTGACATGAAACAGAGAGGAAAATGCCCGAGTTCGCCGAACAAAATTTGTCGAGACCCTGGCTAGTGGCTGCTGATGAAAACCGGGGTACAAGATAACATTCTGTGGACAGTGGTTGTCTCCACTGCCAAGGAAAGGAAGCCACAGTGCGAACTCCACGGACAAGACGACGGGATGGTTCTGGGCCATTGAGCCCCTGGAATCATTACGCGGGTTGTCATGGACTTTCTTACTGGCCGCCGTGTGGCGAGGGGAGGCATCCTTCAACACTTGCCACTTGGTTTCTCTACACCATTTTGTTCACATCTACCATGTCGATCCGTGCCGTTCCGTCTCGACCCTTCATTCCCGTCCGCTAGCGCTCCTCTTCGCTCAGTCCTTGGACTCTGGTTTGGTTTGAAAGGCTCGGACTCTGACCTCGGCAGACGCCCCGTGGGATGAAATCAATACCAACCCATCGAATACGAGAATTGTGGGCTCATCAGAGTCGCCGACACCGCGTTCATCGCATCCCGAGAGCTGGACTTCACCTCATTTCCCATCTTACGTTACCACGTGCCAAACGGACATGTAATTTAACCGGTCGTGGGGCACTCCGAGGAGAGCTGTGAAGGGCATGCTGCTGTTTTGTGGCGGCTCATGTACGCGTGGAGATGGCTTGATGGTGACGTGTGGAAATGTAGAGGATTTTGTAGGATCGACACAGCTACTCGGGTCCTCCGTGACTGCTGGCAAATCTGCCTGCCATGCGACGTTTGTCAATTTGGGGACATTGCAGAAGTTTTCAAGGTCAGTGTTTCATGGATGGGAATATTCCTTGGTAAAACATGATTGAGCGTGGGCACGCTCTAACAAGATGAGCACAGTGATTGGCATCCTTGTAAACCGCCATTATTTCACGCTTGTTGAGTCTATCTTTGATTGTGCGGACAGCAACTTAGGGCAAATAGCTGCTCTTTAGTCTCTATAGACGAGGATTACACCTAGCACGTATTTTTTCAATATGCGGCTGCAACAAAGGTTCTTCAGTCGCAGATACTGGAAACAAAGTGTGCAGATTATCAACTTCCTGTCTCAAATCGGCATCCGTCATCTCTTCTAAAGGAGCCACATATTTGCAGTCTCTCCGCCGAGCGATGACAACATCAGCATGCTTGTCCTGTAAGTTTGAAGTCAACATAAGTGAAAAGGAAAAGTGACGGCCGATTCGCGCTGCTGCAGCCAGACTTGCAGCCTTCTCTTTTCAGATAATTACCTGGAAGATAATGAAAAAGAAATAGCATACCTCTATAATATCCTCACACACATTTACATACTCCTCGGCCTCATGAAAGCTATATCCCACAAGCACCGTGATCCTCCTCTTTGTCTTATCTCCAGATTTCTCTACAAACACCAACCGTCCATGTTCAAAATCCGACTTGATATGCCATCTGCGCGACACATATAGCGGCTTGAAGGTGACCAGCATGCCATGCAGCAGTGTCAGTGAAAGAAAAGGCTGTGCTCCATCGTGCACGATGCAGATTTTGTTGAGACGCGACAAGTCTTTTTCCCACAACAAGCGCCACAGCATGTGTACTACAAGTTCTCTGCCCGCGCCACCGCTACCACTACCATCACCGTTACCATGGGAATCTGTGCTCTGAAATCGGAAATACAGCTCTTCTAGGTTCGGCAGTCCCGCGGCGGCAAAGTGGAACCCTTTTACGCGTCGACGCGTTGTTGCCGAGGAATCGCAAATGTACAGCTCTCCCAGGCATGCTGGTAGGAGAATTTGCAGCTTGGTGACTTGTGGTGCGCAAGCAGTAGCGAGCAGGGCTCGTGTTTTTTCTGCTAGTTGCTGTGCGCTCAACCATTTGAGAGGGTAAATGACGCTGTGTGAGCGCGCAAGAGAGGCATATTCGGCGTATAGCTGGCGACAGGTCCATGCGAGTGCCAGGGCACTTTTGGAGAGGCTCGAGGCTGGTATACTGCCCGGTGCACGATTAAAGGCGTAGGATATGATTTGGTTTCTGATTTCGCCTGGCAAGGTGAGGAATGGTGATGTTTGTGCCATCGATGCTTTCTAGCTTTTTCAATCCTCTTTCTCCGGGTGTTTATAGCGATGATATAGTTATTCGATATCGCATAGATCCAATAGCAACAGTTTATTGATTCATCTTCAGATTTGGTAGATTCAGAGCAGTTGGTCGTAATGATGGTGAGAATCGCACGTTGAGGAACGAGAATGTTTCGCATGATAAGTCGTGTACTAGAGGTGCCGGACGGGCCAACGCCGCGGACGGGCCAACGCCGGATTACGTCCTCCAACACCAATTATTCCATCCACTTCAACCACCCATAACGTGACCACAATGCAATCAATTGACGCTGCGCTTGCTGCTATTAACGCTTTGAAGCCTAATGAAAAACTTGTGTATTCTTAAATTGTAAAAAAATATGGTGTTGACCTAGGAACGCTGAGCCGCCGCCACCGAGGTATTTCTCGCTCCAGACAAGCAGCTGCACAAAACCAGCAGGCAGTCCACCCACAACATGAAGCTGAGCTTATCGACTATATCGATAGACTCACTAAGCGAGGCCTAGCACCCACACGGAGTATCATTCGAAATATCGCGTCGCAGCTAGCTCAGAAGCAGCTCGGATATCACTGGGTTGATCGCTTTGTTCATCGTAACTCGCATCTCGTTATACTCAAGCGCACCACGCCAATCGATCGTAGCCCGGCGCCGAGCTG